ACCTGGATTACTAGAATTTGAGACCTTAAAATAGCATTATCAATTATCTAGTCCAAATTTTGGAGTAATTTTTCTGACTTTTCCCTTTTCCCTTTTCACATGGAATTCAGAATTCTTCTGAACTGCTCAATTTCCCCCTCCGCTCAACTCTTGACTTTCTGTATTGCCCATTCATTCACTGATTCATTCAACTCACTCACTTAACACATGTTCATTGAGTGTCTTCAATGTTCCAGTCCCTGTTCTTTACACTGAGTTTACTGCAATGAACATGACAGAACAGGTCTGTTCTCTCAATAATTTCCCTGCTTGGGTGGGACTACATCTGTTCCCAAGGATTTGACTCCTCTCTTTGACTTATTACTATGTGTTTATTTCAATTTTCAAGGATTCTATGCCTGGAGCTCCAGGTTCATTTCCTTTCTCATGGTCATGTCTTGCCAGCACCTCAAACTCAACATGTCCTGGACTAAACTCATCCTCTTCCTCCCACACTGCTCCTGTCTCCAGACTTTCTGTTTTGTTAATGGTATCATCCTTTCCTTGTCACCAGGCACAAAGCCTCAGGGACATTCTAATTATTTCCTCTTCTTGGTCCTAATACATCACCTGATTTTGTCTATTCTTCTTCCATCTGGACAGATGTATTTCACATCTGTTACTTCCTTTTCTTATCCACTGCCATGTATTGAATTTGGATCCTCATTTCAAGCCAAATCTATTACACCTTCACACAATGATGTGTTATATTCTATTTACTTCTTCCTCTAGAGCATGTTAGTCATGGTTGCCTAATTAATTTCAGGGCCATGTTAGAAAATATTATAGGTATAGACCAGCTGCTATCTTTCAAAGTACTTCTTTTAAAACCATTTTCCTACCATCACACTCTACAAGTATGCACAGTCTCAACTCCTTGGACACTCAAAACCATCCATGTTCTGGCCTCATCACTCCCTCTCCAAGGATATGTCCTCATAATCTTTGTATATCACCACCTCTCCCTTGGATTTCCTTTCTCCTCCTTCTGCTCAATCTTGAAATTACTCCCCTCTTTCCCAGAAATTCGTACCATAGCTCAGTGTTCAGAACATTGGTTTTAGAGTCAGACATCCCGTTCAAAACCCTGTTCTGCCAATTACAAGCTGTGCAACCTTAGAACCCTGTGTCTCAATTTTCCTATTAACAAAATGTAAGGAGAAACCTAGTTGTGGAAGAACTGTGAGGATTGAGTGGAATAATACCCAGCTCACAATATATAATCCATCTCACTACCAAATCTGTGTGCTCACCAGCTGGAATTCTGAGTGACTTCCTTAGTAGTGAAAGTCTCTAATGGGGCCAATGTAACTGAGCACCCCTTGAACACTGTAGCCTCAGGCTGCCAAGAGGCAGGAAGCTCATAAGCATGTGCTTTCTTGATCTGTGAAATTGCTCCCACATTTTCGACCCAGAGAGCGTTTCCTCAGAGAGGCCTCCCCTGGTCTTATCTAAAATCCCCATGCACTTCCACTTAATGTCTATACCTCATCTTCTTTATTTTCACCACAGCACTTTTCACCATGTGAAATAATGTCTTTCTTGTTCTCTTTCTTATCTATCTTCACACTAGAAAGTGAAGTCCCCATGGCAGGTCTGCACAGGCAGGATCCACATGGACAATTCCACATCAGCAGGTTTACACAGGTGGATCTACGCAAATAGGGTCCCTATGGTAGGTCCACATAGGCAAGTGCACAGGGGTAGGTCCATATAGGTGGGCAAACATAGGCAGAGTCCACATATATATGAGGTCCCCGTGGCAGGTTCCTATAGTCAGGGTCCACACAGGCAGGATGCACAGAGGTAGAGTCCCTGTCACAAGGTATTGTGAATAACCCAGTCCACAGTAATTTGTCCTCATTTGAAGTCCTGTAACAAATTCCTTCTATATTTGGTTGAATGGATGGCCATAGGGATGGTCATTGTCTATGCCATATTCAGCTTGTGACATTTCTTTTGTTGTTAAGTATTACCAGTATTTGAATATGAAGTTATTTCTTATATGTGAAGTTATCACTCATACCTTGTGTGATTATTTATCATATTTCCCAAATCAGACTATAAACTACTGAGGCCAAGACATACTTTTGCATATCTCCTAGAATGATTCAGCATAGCGCTCTCTGTGTGATGCACTAACAAACATTCATTTATATTGACCTCTTATAGGTACCTGCAACAGTTTTCAATGCCAAGCATGTACTGTCCATAAATAATTAATTGAGTGACATTATTCAGTTGTTCAGTGTGCAGGTTCAGAAGATGTGGCTCTTGGCTCTCCTGGAAGTCATTAGAAGGCTGGTCCAACCAGAGACTGTCAACTTGTTAGCTGAGTAACCTCAGATGGGTCACAAATCCCCAGAGACTTTCCAGTCTGTTAAACAGAAATAATAACACTTTTGTTACAGAATCATGAAAGAGATATTTAATAATACCTTATAAACTGCTAAGTTCCATATAAATATCAGTTGTTACATTACTGCTAGAATAACATAATGTAAGCTGAAACTTGAGCCATTGTGAATAAAATGTATTCAATAATACTGCTTATTATCCAAATATCTTATTATCCAAAGATCTGATTCTGGCTGTTAACAGTGTTCTGAGTAACAACCTCCAGGTAGGACCTCACATTGCCAAATACCAGCATTTCCAGGGGGTACCGCTGCTACTTCAGAGGGAATGCCTGTACCAGCATCTTTAACTGCTGCTGGACATCAGAAAAAGCTAGGGGCCATGAACACAGAGCCCCAGCCCATCCAGAGCAGCTCCCCAAGTTTCGGTAATGAAACTATTCTTTGAATGCCCAAATCCCTGTCATCAAACCACCCCTGAGGTAGCCTGCTTGGGTCAGGAATACATGAGCTTGGTGGTACTGCCATCCACAGCCAGGCATTTGATACAAATATGCCTCACATACAAAGGTGTGTACTCCCATTAAGATTCACATGTCTCTCAATAAGTCACTGCCTTTCTTCCCCAAAACTCAGACATCAGCTTCCTGTGTGAGGGTCACCTCCTGCCTTCAGGCTAGCTTCACTCTGTCTATTCTGAGTCAAGCAGAGCTCCCTTCCCACCTCACCCCTCCACTGGGGCCTAAGGCTTGTTGCTCCAACACACATCACTGTGTGGGAGGGGCAGGTCCTTGGGTGATATCATCTGTTTGTAAACAGATTCCACAAGTCACCTCCTACTAGGAATCGTAGAATCTCAGAGATGGAAGTAGGGACCCCTCCCACGCAGAGCAGGGCTGCCCTTCAGAGGCTCCCCAATAGGGGTCATTTGGCCTCTGCTGGATGAATCAATGGACCATCTCCTACCTCGCCTCTGAGCAAATACTTTTGCAGGGTGGATGCCATGACAGAGCTTGCTAGTCATTGGGTTACTGATGGAACAGTACCAAGGAGCCAAGCTTCAATTTTCTATGAGCCTGGGTGTGTCCAGAGGCCCGAGTGTCCCTTCCCCTGAGTGGTGGGGATTTCTAAGGCAGTAGAATATGATGCCAATTCTGAAAACAAGGACTTTGGAGTCACACAGATCCTGGTTCAAATCTTATCTCCCTCACTCACTATCCTTGGACATTCACTAGCTATATGACTTTAGGCAAATCAACTAAAACTCTCTGAACCTCAGTTTTCTCAGATTAAAAAAAAATCTGAGTAAAGTCTAGATTTTGAGATTACCCTGGAGATCAGCTGAGAGATGTATGTAAAGTGCCTAGCCCTGTGCCTGGAACAAAAGAAGTGCCCAATAAGTGGCAGCAATTGTTTCTATTATCACCACCAGTATTACCATCTCCTGCATTCTGAACCAGCCAAGACCACAGGGATGTTGTTCTCCCTGTTTCCTCTTTCCTCAAGTGAGTAGGTAAGATCTAGGCCCACAGCCTCAGGATGATCCTGCCACCACCATCACAGCCACCTCAAGAAAATGACATTGCCATGCTCTGAGCATGGCCCATCTCACCCTACAGAGTCCCGGAAGTCCATGACTCCTGGTTGGGCCCCAGATGCGTGGATGAGGCCTAAAGAAGGAGCTTCCCAGGCTCCTGGCACGTTCCTCACCCAGCAAGCAAAGCAGTGGATTGATGATCCTCTGTGGCAAAAGAAAGTCTCAGACTGCCTGATTCCAAAGCCTTGGATCTTTGGATCTAAGAACTACAGATCCAAATATTTCCCACACAGCAGCTTGTGCAGGACCTGATGGGCCAGAGGGTGAGCACATCAGCCAGAAGGCTCTGGAAAGTTTCAGGGAATACAGCAGAGCAGTTAGGAGTTTAAGCCTGGAGTAGGACACCCATTCTTCTCCATCATCCACTGGCTGAGTGATTCTGAGCAAGTCACATATCCTTGGTTTCTCTTCTGTAAAATGGGTTAAAAGCACATACCCCCACTGAGTCATTGCAAGAATGCTGTGAGGTGGTGCATGTCACATCAAGTCCTTAGAACACTGTCTGGCTCCATTTGTGATTCCTGCTATCATAATTAAGTACAGGAAGCCACTCTTGTTCAGACATGAATTTGATTTTTCTCCCTTTCAGGTATGCCAAGCCACGGCTAAGTGAGAGGTAGTGGACAGGGTAACAGAACACGATAATAAACACATGAATGGAAGAACAATTGGAAACAAAGAGTTCTTGAGAGGTAGAAGTTTTATTATGACATGAACATTTATTAAGCACCAACTGTGTGCAAAGCCCTGCCAATGGTAGGGTCCAATATTCCACACATGTTGCTCAGATTCCGGGGGAGAAAAATCACACGGGGGTCAAAGAGTTTGGTGGGCCTGAGAACAGGGTGGGTTTTGGAACATCCAGTGCAGTTAGGTTGGGAGGGGCGGGGAAGGGAGGCACACCCCAACCTAGCCCCACGCGGGAGCACAGTGACATGCAGCAGGGACTTGGGTGGCAAAACAGGGCTCAGCAGCAGCCTAAAGCAGCTCACAGGGTGGCGGGGGCCTCAGCAGCCACCACAGCAGCCTTGGCTCTGGACGTTGCTGGAGCTCTGGCTGCCACCCCCGCAGCAGCTGCAGCACCCGCTTCGAGGCTGTCGGCGGCGCCTCCTGGGGAAACAGCCACAACCGCTGGAGCCACAGCAGCCTCCGGAGCCACAGCAGCCTCCAGAGCCACAGCAGCCACCGCCGCTGGAACCACAGCAGCCACAGCAGGAAGACGAGGCTGTGGGTGCAGGAGCGGGACACGGAGCAGGGCCCTGGGAAGACCCCTTGGAAAAGCCTTTGGCGGAAGCCGCGCTCTGCTGGGAGGACATGGTGGAGCTCAGCTCGTCACAGTGAACCTGGAAGACAAGGAGCCTTTTACACGCCAGCAGGCCTTTCCACCCTAACAACTGAACTCAGGGCTTTAGAGATGTGGTTGGCTTTGTGAGCAAGCTAACCTGGCCTGGTGCAGGGGAGAAAGGAGGGGAAGCAAAGAAACACACCCCAACCAGGTGCTTCCATTGAGTTAAAGAGGCATAAAGCAGGGAACAGTCTGGTAGAATCAATGGGTTTCCATTTTCTCTAAGGAAAATAAGGACCACCCAAGTTCTCCACCGTGGAAGCTAGAGAGGATATGATGGAAATTTATCTGCATGATCTAGTCCAAACTCTTCCTTTGGCTCTCTTCTCTTCTCCTATTTTCCTGTGGCCACAGACTTTCAAGTGCTGTTCACATAGTTATTAGCATTGTATAAACACTCCATCAATTAGAAAATACCCAAATCACACATAAGGACCAGTTACTTGGGTCTAAAGAACCCACAAATACAAGAATCATGTACTGGTCGTCATTCCTGCCTATGGCCCATTCCCAAGTACAGGGAAAAGAGTGTAACAGTTACATAGTGGTGTAGAAGATGGAAATACATCCTAGTCCAGGGAGCCAAAGACTAGGGTTCTAGCCACATTCTGCTAACCTTGCAGAAGTCACCGTCCCCAGTCGGGCCTCCATGTCCTCATTGGTACCATGAGAGGTTGGCTCACTTGAAGCCTAAGGCATAGCTCTGCCTCCTCCTTCCCTCTGCCTTCAAATCTAGAACTACCCCCGAGGTCCTGCTTAGACACTTACCAGTCCCTGGCTCCACTGGAAGAATCAATTAGTTCTCCAACTGGAATGGGGCACCTGCTAGGCAGTGGACTGAGCAGTGTCCAGCCAGAGAACCTTTTATAAGATTGCAGGCAGGCACTGCCTCTTGGGAGGGACCCATTTCCCAATAGACATGGTCAGCTGGTGCTCACATCCCAGAGACATTCATCACTCAGGTAGCACTGTAGGTGGTGCACGTGGGTATTCAAGTCACTTCACAGAGGTGCCAGGATTGCTGTGGCATGTTTACTTTCCAAATAAGTCACTGTCCATAGCTGGGAGGGCTGTGTGTGTGCTAGAAGTTATGGGGGCTCAAGTGAGATCTGGGACCTCTCTTTAGGACCTGTTCTCTTTGGCTTCTTCTACAACACACACACACACACACACACACACACACACACACACACACACACAGAGTTCTCCCATTCTCACATCCATCCCTGTGTAGTCATTTTCTTGGTGGTAGTAGTTTACCTAATTTATTATCTTGCTTTGCATCTCTCTGACCCTTGGTCCTTGGCTTTTCAATTCAGGCCACAGGCTATATGAAAAGCCTACTGGGCTTCATCTAGAAGCTTCCAGATAACACTGAGTTAAGATGATGGTGGGGATATGCCTCTGGGAATCCCAGTGGTGATTTCTCTCTGTCACTGGAAACAGGAAGAAAAACCCAGACAAAGTTATGGAAACTTTAAGACCAGAGAGGCTGTGAATGTAGTCAGGTTGCCATATCCCCATACAGCCCTGGAGGCCTAAGAGAAAAATGTGCACAGGATGCCTGGCCCAATTGCAAAATGCTAAGCCAGCTTGTGGGACTCTTTGCTCCTTACTCCCCGCCCCCACCAAAATCCTTTTGAAGATAGGTTCTCCTCGGAACCATTGTCCAGAGGAAAGAGGAAGGAAGGAAGGAAGGAAGGAAGGAAAAGAAAAAGAAAGGAAGAAGAAGGGAGAGAAGGATGTCAAGCCAGGCCTTTCCTAAGGTCCAAAATGTCCATGAGAAATGGTGCTTTTAGAAACTGAGTTTTAAGAACTGGGGCAGTTTGGACGTCAGCTGGCTTTAGAACTTCTTACTGAATGCAAGCACCCACAACCATAAGATAGAAGAGAAACGCAAGACTAAGAATTCAAGAGTTGATGGTTAAGCAACAGGTTGGATGTAAGTGGGCTGGGCATGGAATGGTGGAACAAAGAATGGTCAATCATGAAAGATACCAGTTTCATCTAACATACTTTAAGAGCCTGATTAACAGGTTGTTTATACCTGGGGGCACCTGTTGGTGAGTACAGGTGAGACATTCTAAGAGGTAAGGTCTTATTGGAATAGAGAAGGAAGTGATGAAGTAACAAAGCCTCTGGGAGAAGAGCTCTCTACTGGGAGATGACATGGGCAAGTGCAGGAATGGTCTATGAACTTGCTACAGTCTCATATACTAACTTACTTCACCTAGCACTGTTACCTCATATCAAAGGAAAAGCTAATTGTTCTTCTGGTCTACAAAAGGCTGATTTGGAATTATCATTCCTACATAAACTTTCTGAGTATCTCCTGAAGAAATCAGCATATTCCTAAAGAAAATGGAAAACTCACCACTGTGACTAAAGCCCTCCTGTTTCCCTTAACACACATGCACACACACACACTAACCACACGGAGACAGTGTTTGGCAGAGGAGGATGCCCTTTTGGTTCTGTACAGAACCCATACTTAGCCTTTCAGGATCCAGGGAAAATGGACTCAGACATTTCATACCTCCCTCCTAAACTCACTCCCCCAAATCCAACCCTCTACTCTCTAGTAACTGATGGAAGCACCTGGGATTATAACCATCAGAAAAGTAAAGTGTGTTTATTTATTGGAGCCCAGAATGAGCACTTGAGGAGACCTTATCCCCATAACTAGGAGATAAAGTCTTCTTTAAACTATCACCCATGCTTGAAGGAAACCCCCTTTTCAGAGAATCTCACATCACTGTGACCTTTCTGGGTATCACCATCCTCCCCTCTGAAAACCCATTCCTGACTCTCCTCATGCAAAGCTTGTATCAGGGCAATAGTCTCAGACATGACTCTTTCCTTCGAGGCTAAAGTTTCCAAAATCGGAGCATAAAAGTGAATATTGTTTCCCAGAAGTCTAAGAAGCTTCAGTGCCAAAATCATCTTCTCAAACTGAATTGTAAAGTAATCACTTGCACTTAAGAAAACGGAAGGGCAGAGGGTTTGATGGAGGGGTGTGAATGGGAGAGGTGAACAGACATAATCAGGAGACTGTGACATCATGAATAAGAAGCTTTATTGTTACAGAGAAAGCAGCTTCATAACTGAACTCCAACAACAAGTCCTCCAAAGATCTATGTCTGAGAGGGAATCAGGCTAGTGACTGTCACAGGTTAAACCTCTAGACCTCACAATGGAATGGACATGGGTGGGAGGAAGAGGGAAACTCAAAGCATTTCAGAGGCTCTTCCATCCTCTTCTGTTCTTCCAAATGGGGAAAAGAGAATTCTCGGGCTGGGCGGGTCTTTGGCACATTGGCTCCTCTAGTGCTGCTCGTCAGTGCTCCTCATGGCCCAGATCAGCAGCAACCCCCAGAGCAACAGCCAGAGCCCCCAGAGCTGCTGCAGCATCCGGAGGCCCCAGAAGAGCAGCCAGAGCTCCCAGAGCTACTGCAGCAGCTGGAGCCTCCGGAATGGCCACCACCACTGCCACAGCAGCCAGAGCTCTGGTGTCGGCGTCGAAGAGATCGGCGGGGCCTGTGGTGGCTCAGGCAGCAGCCGCCACCCCCAGAGCTGCAGCAGTTCCCTCCCCCAGAGCTAGAGCCACAGCAGGAGACTGGAGGTGGGCAGGGGACTGGGCACTTAGGGGGGCATTTTGGGGGACACTTGGGAGGACACTTAGGAGTACCCTTGGAGGGGCACTTGGGAGGAGGCTGGCACTGTTGCTGGCTTTGCTGGCAGGACATCTCAGCAGAAACTGAATGAAGCTGAAAAATGAAACAGCATTTAAGTTCAGCCAGCCCAAGGTAACTTCTCTACATTTAAAACTTGAACTATGAATTCATGCAATTCCATATTTATGATGATCAGATTTTTAAACCCAATCTCCCAAAATCAGTTACAAGAAATATACAAAAGGTTTCAACCGAGGAACTCCATAATTTCAAATGAATTCCTTCTGGTTTTAAAAAGACACCCACCCTTCTTTCCCTTCTCCTACCTCACAGACTCACCCTCCAGCAGAACTCTCCCATTCAAATCTTTTTTTTGCTGTCTCTTTCTTAGGATTTCCCTCAGCCTGGGGTGTCTCACTGGCTCGGTTAAGTGTCCAAATGTCTAACTCTTGATTTCAGCTCAGGTTGATTTCAGGTCAGGTCATGATCTCAAGGTTGTGAGATCGAGTCGCCCGTCAGACTCTGCACTGGGTGTGGAGCCTGCTTAAGATTCTTTCTCTCCCAGAGCACCCAGGTGGCTCAGTCAGTTAAGTGTCTGCCTTCAGCTCAGGTCATGATCCCAGGGTTCTGAGATGGAGTCCCATGTCCAGCTCCCTGTTCAGTGGGGAGCTTGCCCTTCCCCCCACTTCTTCTCTCTCTCTCTTTAATAAATAAATAAAATGTTTAAAAAAAGATTCCCTCTTCCTAAGATTCTCCCTCTGCCCCTCCCTACCTCTGTCTCTTAAAAAAAAAATTCTTCTCAACCCCTGTAGGTTTAATCTCTGCTTGAAACACCAACATCAAGAGTCTCTCCTGGTCCTCAAGATGCACTTTACCTGGTTCAGGCACCAGAGCAGATCACCCAGGATGTAGGTGGACTGAGGTGCTCCTAGAAGCTTCCGACTTTTATACAGGTTCAGCTCTGACCTGGTATCAGGAGGTGTGGGCCATGTGTGGAATACAAACAGCATCTTTCACAAGGGACACCTGTGACTACCCTTTCCTCACATCCTAGGGACCGAAGTCCTCCCTCCATAAGCATGACAAGTATTTGCCTGTCAGGAAGGTCCCCAGAGAATTTCAGGCCACCAGGATAGTGATGGTGCTTTGTGGATTGCACACATTGCCTGTTAGCACCACAGACAGCTTTGCCATGCTTCCTGTTTCCTCAGCCGGTTCAGTGGTGTTCTAGACCTCAGGGATGAAGAGAAGATCTCTCCTCTTTTTGGTTTGGAAATCCAAAGAAAAATACCCAAGAT